AGGCCCTCCATCCAATCTCCCGTACGACTTCAATTCGCAGGACTATCGCGACATGGAAGAAATAATCGAAAGAGAAGCTGCCAACGAGGACGACGACGCCGGCGACGACGGCGGGGCAGCGACGCCGACGGGAGATCTTCCACATTACGCGGACGAGGAAAGTTCGCTATTGACGCCAAACGTGAGGTGGGTGGACGCGAACTGGAAGCAGTACACTTCTGGATTCCTTCGGGAAAACGAAAACGACGATCTGGAGTGGGATCCGTCTCAAGACCTGTCTCTTATACACATCTAGATGTGTATAAGAGACAGGTCTTCGACGCCGGCGACTCCCAAGTCCGTCCCGCTGGAAGATCTCGATGCTCACCGTCGAGAATCGGCGAAGGAGAACGAACGTACGTTGGAACTGGGCAACCAGAAGCTGAACGAGGTGCAGGACAAACTTGCGGAAAAGGAACGAAAACTCACAGAAGCCAGAGTCGTCATACAGAAATTAAAAGACGAAATACACGAGGCGAAGATGTCCGCGTTGAGAGAATCGTCCGACGTTCGCAGCATCGCGGAGGAAGAGGTCGAACGTCTCAAGACCGAACTCGCTTCCAAGACGGATGCACTGAAGGAAAGGGATCTGGACGTTGTTCGCTTGGAATCGGATCTGAAAGCCGCGAGGAGAAAGTCGAAGCAGCCGCCACCTGAAGAGAGCGGACTCGAGCTGCAGCAAAAGCTGCAGGAAGCCGTCCGCAAACTGAAAGACCGAGAGAGATCTCACGCCGACATGGAAGAGGAGTTGGAAGAGAAAGACGACAAAATCAGCGCGCTGAAAAAAGAGTCGACGCTCGCCAAGACCGCGATGTCCATGTACGAAAAGCGGGTGGACGTCTTGGAAGAAAACCTGAAAACGGCTTGCAAGCGATACGACGAGGAAGTGAAAAACAGACGGATTGTGGAGGCGGCCGCGAAAAAGGCAGACGAGCACGCGCAATCCATGGCCGACAAGAACGTCGAATTGCAGCGAGAACTGTTAAGAAGGCAAACCGAAGAGTCGTTGTACGAAATGGAAGTGAGCATCGGAGAGAAGGAGGAGTTGCGGCGAGCGCAATCCGATCTGGAGGAGGAACGGAAGACGGTTATGCGATTGAAGAGTGCGACTGAGGACCTGAAAAAGGACCAAACGCGTCATTCGGAGGTTCTTCGAGAGAACAGGAACCTGAAGGAGGAGGTGGAAGCAAACGCCAGGAGGATCGAAAGTATCGACGACGAACTTCGCTCGTCGAAACGGACGCTCGGCGACAGAGACAGACTGGTTTCGGACAAAGATCGAGCGACGTCCAACCTGAAGAAGGAAATCGCCACTCTCAGAGACGAACTTCGTGCCGAAAAGGACAAGGTGGCAACAGCCGTGAAGGAACGCAGCGACGACGACGCCCGAAGTTCAGTGAC